ACCACAACTCAAAGGCATTAATTCTTCTATGATCTTCCTTATTCACTGTCCAGCTTTCATATCCATATACTGATGTCTAAAAACCACTAAAGATAATGCATGGTAACCATCTTTACTGACCTCTGCTATCCCTCTGTCCCTAATTGTTCTTCTACAGGAAAGTCAAAGGAATCAAAGGCTGAAAAGAAATCAGAGCAAATCCCCAAAGAGAAAAGGATGGGAGCCAAAAAGAAAAAGAGGCAAAAGGAAAGGAATCTGGATATGGCAAAGATGAGTGGGCCTGATATCAATAATTTTGAGGAAACAAAAGACACCTCAGATAGAGGTTTCTTTCATTCAAGCTCCGTAGAAGAGGACTCTTGGCCCTCTCCCAAATATGATGCTCAGGAAAGCCAAGTTTCCATAGATGGAAGATTATCGCCCACCCAGACTGTAACTGTCAATGGAGACATGGGATCTGAAGAAAAGAAAAGCCTTGATGATCCTTCGAAGGTAGGGTTGATATCACAGCAGAGGGGCACCTATTTGTATTGTTGTTACCTACTGTTGAGTTGATTCTGACTTGTGGCAATCTCATATATGCAGAGTAGAACCGCTCCTGAGGGTTTTCAAGGCATATCCTTTCAGAAAGAGATCACTAGGCCTGTCTTACAAAGGTCTTCTGGGTGGGTTCAAACCACCAACATTACAGCTAGTAATGGAGCACATAACAATTTGTGCCACCCAAGGACTTTTCCTATCTACATTACAATCACGGAAACATGCCAACTACATAAGGGTTCTATGTTTCCTATGTTGGTAACTTTGACCTTATTGACCTCATTAAGGTTGACCTACTCAAAGACATAGCTTCCAAACCACCAGGGAGTGTACTAACTACTTAAAGAGGAAGAAGCTGACACAGCATTGGTCTGTGAGAGGTGCAGAGCTCAGAGTTAATGGGGGAAGGTGGAAATTGGCCATCAGAGTAAAATGCATATGAGGGGGCTTCAAAAAGTTCATGGAAAAGTACAATGAAAACATATCTGCATTTTTCCATGAACTTTTTGAAGCCCCATCGTATATTTGATTTGGCTTGGAGTCAATGGCTTCTCATCATTGCTTTTCTCCCAAAGGCAATGGAAAGCACTTTCCTAATGTGCTTTTCTGTGCACACACCTGGACCACATACAGCATATACACAGACACATCTTTTAAGAGTCACATCCTCCCAGGGAACTAGATTCTAATGTTGGCGTTAAAAAAAAAAAATTAAGGAAAATCACTTTGAAAATCCCTGTTAGTAGCCAAAAAGTATACCATACAAGGACTTCCGGCAAGATGGTGAACAAGGCAGACACAGTACGTGGACCCTCTACAACAGAGATGTTGTTGTTAGGTGCCATCAAGTCAGTACCAACTCATAGTGACCCTACACACAACAGAACAAAACACTGCCCAGTACTGGGTCAACCTCACTATCGTTGTCACGCTTGAGGCCATTGATGCTGCCACTTTTCCAATCCATCTC